TGTCATGATTTACTGATCCTGCAGTGTAATTTTTGCCTACCATTTTACTACCAACACCACTGAAGGAACCAGGAAAAGATTTATTAATCACTTAGCTACAAAAATGAAATTTCTGTATGTGTTCATGAACAGCATCCTATAAAATGAACTCTAAAATTTCAGATTTAAGAACAAGTAGTTCCTGAATTACACGATTTGTGCTTATACAATTCTGCCTTGTATACCATCTCATCGCATAACACAAATATACTCTTTCCCCATTTGAAAACATTTTTTTAAAAGATTTATGGATTCAGGAGAGACATGAATGAAGTACATCAAACGACTTAAAGGAGATAGATTCGTGAATCAGATGCTCTGCAAGACAGACCCTGTGATTTAAAAATGTGATTTAGTTCAATAATGTCCTTCAAAAGGGGAGACAGAGTTCAGGCTGCTTCCTACTACTGCCCCGTGGGTTCCGCACAGCGCTGTCTGCCCCCTCCGTGGGGTCTTCCTTCCAGGCCTGGGGCCCAAAACAAAAAACATCCTTCAAAAATTGAAATATGTAAAGGATGATGAGACTATCAGACAAAGGATGATGAGAGATTATCAGTATAGGTAAACGTTTTTCCCTTAATCTGAAGCAGATACCAATTGCATGGAGGGATGGGAGTTGGGGGAAAGGGGTCTTCTACCTTCTAAATAAAGGATAATGTATTCAGCAATATGTTGGGAGGATCATTAGGAGATGGGAGATGTACAAAAAGAAATAAAATTATAAAAGATGTTTTGCTCAATTTCAAATCTAGGACTAAGAAAAAGTTAGGAAATGATTTCCTTTTCACCAACTGGAGCTCTGCTATCAGTTCAGAACTTAAATTAGAACTGTCCATTAACACATTTTTACAGGTAGGTAGAGAACCAACATTTAACACTGTTTCAGAGGAAGCACTTTAAAATTCAACAACTAAATTATACTCATAGATGAAGTTGAGAGTCCATGGGAGGCCGAAGAGATCGAGAGTACTGCCAAAGGTGGTTGGTAAGCCTCATGATGGAAAAAGGATTGAGAATTATTTCAGTTCCATTTTCATGTCATTCATGCTTCAGTGCACTATTGCCAAAGCTGTACCTCAGAATCCTGACCTGTCTTCTACTTGCTGTGTAATTTCCACGTGGATATCCTACTTGCACCTTAAAGGCCAACATGCAAATCAAAATTATCTTCCTCTTTAATTCCCAAAAAGATACCCCTCCAGAGTGCCCTAATTGCTAGTTTTATGTTCCTAATTGCTCAAATTTAAAACTCCCCTTAACCTCCATTCAGTTGCTCAAATCTTAATTTTACCTCCAAAATACCCCCAAGCAGGTCCATGCCTCTCTATTCCCTCTAATAATGTCCTTCATGCTCTTTCATTTAAACTATTGAAATATTCTTAAGTGGTCTTCTCTCAAGCAGCTTTGCAAGCTGTTCTCCATATTTTCACCAGTTTTCTCTTTGAAGCAGGAATCTCATCCCCTTGCTCATAGATCTTTGATGGCTCTATGCTATTGAAATATTCTTAAGTGGTCTTCTCTCAAGCAGCTTTGCAAGCTGTTCTCCATATTTTCACCAGTTTTCTCTTTGAAGCAGGAATCTCATCCCCTTGCTCATAGATCTTTGATGGCTCTGCTATGCTTACAGAATAAAGTTGACATTCTGAAGCATGACATTCAAGGCCCTGCATGTTATATTACCCAATATGCCTTTCAATACACTACATCTTCCTTCTCACTTCTGAGGTATGGGATACTCCGCTTCTATTCACACCATCTGCGCAGACTTACCTCTGACAATTACTTCCTCTTTGCACATCAAATACTATTGAATATTTTAAGGCCCAACTCAAGGCTACTTCTAAGGTGTCAGATTCCCAACTAGGCAATCACTACTCACCAGAATTAGTACCTTCTGAGAGAGACAGTAAGTGTTTTCACTTCTTCAGGCATTTGTTGGTGTGGAAAAGGTAATGCAGCTTGTATTTGTTACATTTGTCATTTCTTCCCCACCCACCTATACTGTTAAACTTTCAGTTCCGCCATTTACCCTTGTATTTCCTAAACATAACTCACACATAGGTCCCCACACATTAAAACTAGATATGCTGCTCAAAAATGACAGAACTGAGAAATGCCAAGCCAGGCACAGAAGGGTGGTTGAGGCAGTTTTATAACTCGAGACAGGGACTTCATGTTTGTTAGACTTATTATAATCTTATGTAGAAATGTCAGCCTGTGAGTGAGTGAACCATTTCCTGGAATTACAGACTTAGCTTTGGGAGAGATGTAGGAACTCATCTAAGACAACCCATTAGTATTAATATTTACAATACATCATTAGAAAAAGTAAACTTTGTATTTAAAAATGGGGGGAATTTTCAAACTATGGTTTGAACTTCCAAAATCAGTTTTCCCAACTGTGAGAGCGGTTATGTGTATGTTATGTGAGCAGGAATGGAGACCGATACACAATGCCAACATCAAACAGTTCCTTTGCATTTTCAATCCCCTTTCTAGAACTGTTTAATGTCCCCACTCAAAATGATGTCTGCTTTAATACTTCTTAAAGGCCTCCTTAAGCTCAAAACAAGTCCCCCTTTTTTGGTAATCTCAAACCATTTAATGGTCCTCTCCTCAGTACTGCTTCTGAGTAAGACAGAGGTGGGTGGCTTTGCCCTGGGACAGGCCAAACCCTCCCCTAGACATCTAAATGGTTTTGGGGACATGCTAGCAGTTGAGGGACAGGACATCCAGAGTTCAGCCTGCCCACCGTAGCCACAGCTTCTCACATTCTCTGATTTCACCAGCTGTTAGGTGCCAGCTGTGTTGTCCTTCCCTGGTCCATTCTCGGGCTTGGTATTTGAGGGGCATAAGTACTGGAATGGAGCCAAGATTTTGTTACTTCTTAATACCAAATGTGATTAGGACCAATACTGTGGGGTTTTTAGATAGTCTAAAATCATATACTAAGCAGAACAAATACAAGTGTTTTTTCCCAAGTATAGTATGACTGCATCCCATTTGAATCCCACATTTACAGCATACTAGCTTTGTTAAAATATTGTGAAGGGGCAACATACCTAAAAATCTAAATGGTGGTCTCAATAAAATGTCAATTACTCACCAAATAACCACCAGTCTTTCAACCTATAAACCATATAAGCCACCCTTAAATTTGTATTTTAACTTACAAACCACCTTTAAGTTAGAAAACAATGGCTCCTATCAATCTTTTAATAGTGTAATTTGGTCATTATCTTTGCTCCTTTATAAGCTTACAAGGACACTAATAAAATATGTAGCATCAAAACTAATGCAAGTAAAAGTAGCTCTTTCTACAATGTCAACTTTGTCAGTGGTTGAGTTGAATTAACTTCTATCAAATTATACTGATTTACCTGAACTACCTGAACTAGTATAAAATGCTAACCACATATTGGTATTTGTTCTGGTTAAGTGCCACTGCATGTTAAAGTGTTTTTCACTCACATACCACTCATCAACCTTTTACTCACTGCCAATTATAAGCCCCCTTTACCAGGCTACTAGTTAAAACTTTAGGCCTGAAGCTGGCAATTGCAGACTAGTTTGCTTTACACACACACAAAACCAAACAGAATTCCTGAAACACTGGAGGAAGTGCTTCAGAGACTCCAATGGGAGAAAAAGGTAGCTAAATAATTGGGCTGCGCTATGGTCCAAATCCCTATGTTGAAACTTAACCTTCAAGATGATGGCATAAGGAGGTAGACTATGGGAAGTCATTAGGACATAAGGGTGGAACCAAGTATGGGATTAGTGCCCTCACCAAACGGGCTCAAGAAAGCTCCTTTGCCCCTTCTGCCATGAGGACACAGTGAAAAGGCACCATCTATGATCCATGAAATATGCTCCCACCAAATCTGCTTGGTGCCTTGATCTCGATTTCTCAGTCTACACAACTGTGAGAAATTTGTGACTCAGTCTCTAGTATTGTTATAGACAGCAGCCTGAAGGGACTAAGTGTTATAATAGGCTGCTAAATTAAATTTTACTGTTTAATACCAAAACTATTTTAACTTCTAAATTTGTTAATACATCCTCACTAAATTCATCTGCACTCTAATTTAACCGATTTTATCACTCTTCAACTATAAAACCTACTACTTTGTAATATAATCTATTTACTTATCATTCCTTTAGAAAAATTTAACCATTCTCTTTACCAGTGTTAATACCTAGGCTTCTACAAGGTTGAATGCTCACCTGTATTTTATTAGTGTTTCTCTAAATGCATTTTTAAGAGCTAGTGCTACACACAGACCCACTTAAGTATAGCTTTCTCTACATGTATATAAAAATAAAGCATGTGACAATGCCAAAGAATAATGGTTGGTTGGGTTATGTATGAGTTACATATAGAAGACAGCACATCTGTTACTAATTCTCAGATTTTGTGGCAGCTATTTAACATTAGTTGTATTTTTCTGGCACTGTTCAAGTCAACAGTGATTGTAAGTTAAGGTTGTGCCCATACCACCCACCTTTGCACAGCCAGAAATTTAAGTCGTCTTCCCCTGCTGTGTGAATCAAGTGATACAAGACTTAAAGATTACTCTGTTTTTTCTTGGAAGGATGGTATAGCACCTTTCTCACCTTACAGAATCTACCTTCTTAAACAACCTTTCCCTTTTTACATTTCTAAGTATCGTCTAATTACTCAGAAGTTTTTTTTTGTTAAATTTTAGCTTTGTGTAATAAACTAAAAACTATATAGAAGTTGTGTTTTAGACTTTCTTACTGGAATAGATTCTTATATAATAACGAGTAGAAGAACAAAGTTTGAATCAAAGTAAAAATAGTAAGCTGCCCTATTTATCTTCAAGCAAGCTTCACAATCCAAAATTTCCACCTATTATTTTAAAATCAACTATGCTTGCTTTGGTTCAAGTACCATTCAATATCAATATAAATTTAGCAAACCAAACAAGTGTCACTTTTGTTTCATTTGAAAACATATGCTATGTTAAGTCAAATGGTACTTTAAGAAACAGTTCATCTATAAAATATATTGTAAGTTATAAACTCATCAACTTTACTTTTGACCACAACCATTTCCATTTTTAAGATGAGGAATTCCTCCCCTCAGAGGTGATAGTGTTAAATATTGGACCCTCTAAACTTCAGAGGGAAGACAGACAATTAGTAAAAAGTTAAACATTTAGACACTAAAATGGAAGTTAAAAATCCATCTCCTATCATACATTCAAACATGAAAAACAGTCACACACAAAGAGTCAAGACTACTTTAAAAGGGGGGAGCCAAATTATTATTTAAAAATTTGATTACAACCGATTTTGTTGGATTAAAATTAGAGGTATTTTAAATTTGAATGGATAAACCAAAAACCAGAAATTAAATTTGGTAAAAATGGTAATGGGAATTTTTCAGTAATCACAGATAGTAAGGCAGAAATCAATTTAGAGAAACACAGACAAGCCCCATGTTTACAATGATTGTGCCACAGATTTAAACTTCAGTAGTGCATTAGTAAACTGTTCACATTTAGATCTTCACCTTGAGATTTTTATAGCTGTTTCTTGAAAAAAATCTCAGTACCTTGTGCAAATAAATCAGGTCTTCCATGTGCCTTAGCACACACTTAAAATTTCTCCATTGTGTGTGTGTGTATATATATATATATACACACACACACACACACACAAAACTCCTACCATTTGGGCAGGGCAAAATACATACTTTCATAACAAAACTATAATGTACCTCTCAAGTATGAACAATATACACATAATACATGGTATACAGTATTTACAAAATATAAAATATAATACAGGCTGTAGTTTTTTAAATTCATCTTTTGCACTTGGGTTTGCAACAAAGAAAATTTCCATTTCTGTAGCAATTCTTTTCAAGAGTCCAGGAATTTTGGAAAGACTGTGTTTTACATACACACTGAAATCTGAGATCTAAGTTTGAACTTTTAGGAGAGTTTTTAAGTGTACTGCCATCAATTCCCTATTTTGGTTAGAATTTTCAATAGTGCTTCCCATCCAGTGACTAGGAGGCTTTGGAAGAACACTAGGAGAAGGTGGATCACTAAACTTTGCCCCAGCATAATTTTCCTTTTGGCTCACTTCAGTTAGAAATGCTGATTTCTTCAAATGCATATTTTTAATGTTCTCAGTATTTTTAAAAGGCTTTTTTTCCTGCTTCTGAATTATATCAGATGAAAGAGAATCCTGCCAAAAGTTATTTTCATTTCTTTTTGCAGAAGTGATCTTGGTTAGTGGTAAATTATATTTGCTTTTCTGTCTGTTTATCTTTGGTTGTTCCCACAAGTGTATACCATGAATAAGCTGGCCGTGGGGAATGGCAATTTTCTCCGATTTTCCCATCTTTGATTTTAAAACCTACAAAGACAAGGAACATAAAAGTGAATACAGTCTCATGGTAAGATACAGTCATGAACCTCACACCACGTATCTAATACAATTTCCTTTAGAAAGTTCCTCTGAAACTTTTAGTTCATTGCCCTGAATAAATACCTTATGTGCTTGCTGCACTTATTACTGGACATCCAAATATGTACGCACCTACTTTTGTTTACCACTAACAGTTTATCACCACTGCTACCAGTATGCAACATACGAGTCAGTTCTAAAATGTTAAAGTAGAAAAAACCTCAAAGTAACCCCAAGTCCATCTCTATAACCATAATGAAGCCATCTTCCAAACACGTATGGCAACTTTCTAAGGTCAGCATTTTTACAACAGGATGTTGCCAAGAGAAATTTTCAAATGCTTTCACTTTAACTGGTTGAGCCTGGTTAAAAATAAAAGCTGTGTTAATAGATATATACTATACCTTTAAACAGGTACGTTTAAGATAAATTATTTCAGAACAAAAATTTGATTAGCAGGAACCAGAATTTAAGTGAGAAAGTGTGATAGTGAACTAAATACGAACGAAAAATTATCCCCCAGCGTTCGAAAAAAATTTCTAGAAATTTAAGTGCTAAAATAAAAACTTTTCATTTACGTTTTCCAGTTATACACACATAAAAAAACACACGACCCTTAAATAGAATTCGTGCCTCATATCGAATTTACCGAGTATCATAATTCCTCCAAGTGGTAAATATACCTCAAGACAAATGCTGGGCATAGAAGCCACAGGGCATAAATCTGCAAACAAGTAAAAAGCTAACCTTTTCGAACAATGTGGCTTCTCTCTCACTTACCAACTTTACATCTCCCTGTATGGCCCCCGAAGATGACTGGTTAGCCAGAGGGGTAAGATTCCTCCTCAAGGGAGGAACAACCTAAGACAGGCACAGTCGCAGGGGGGCCATCAGGTGAGAAATTGGGGATCAACAGTGGTGAGGCTTGTTTTGAGAGAAATCTTCTGCATCCGTGGATGTTTTAAGGCCCTTGTCTAGCTTGGATTAACACATAGTCTACAGGCACATACCTGATCATCTACAATTGCTCTCTTACAACACTAAACTATGTTTTCTACCTTTATCTTGCATCTACCTACCACTTCAGCATTTTATTAAAAATAAAAAAATAATAATAATAAAGGGAGAAATGTGGGATCCACATATAAATCAAGTAAAGGAATCAAACAAATATTCATATTTGACCTGATTATTTATAGTTCATAATGCGTGATCAAAACCTAAATTTTCTGTGATGACTGCCCTTGTACTGTTCACCATATAAGAACTTATTCACTATGTAAGAATTTGTTCACCATGTAAAAAAAAAAAGGCTCAATGCTTGCTAAGAATAAAGCTAGACCATGATTCTATCAATCAAAAGGCCTCAGTTGATTAACTCCCTTGAGAAAGAAACAATAGTGTAACCAAGTAGTCCAACATCTGTGATGCAAAGATAGAGAAAGATATGTGAAATGTCCTCTGACCCAGAAAACAAAGTACTTTGAATCTATATTTTTAGTGGAGTTATATAAATTTCAATAATTCCTTACACAATCGGAGAGAAAAAAACTCAACAAACAATGACTGATAGGCAGCAGATGTCCTGAGAAACATACAGAAAGCAGATGGCAGCACTGTGTGAATAACAAACAGACCTTGGAGATACAAACAACATGGAGAATATTGTTTGGAAGAATTTATGGAAGTATTTTGCATTAAAAATATTAATGCCTGTGATATAAANCTGCCCTCTACTTTCTGGTTTAACAACTTTGCGGCTCTAATTCTAATCACTATCCTACCTTCAAGTGATCCTTACAGGAAGCCATGCCCAGGTGGAAGTATAAGGTAACCCATTAAATCAGTGCCCCTCCAACACTTGTAACATGGTAGGGAATAGGGGCACAAACAGAAGCAGCAGCACAACTAACAATTCATGTGTTCACTTGCCAACAGAGCTCCCACGAACAGTATTAAAACTGTTCGAGAAAAATAAATTTTACTCACCAGGAAACAAGAAATAAAAGCTTGCTTTTAAATTATCATTAATATTTCAGGAAGGCTATAGAATTTTAAATCTTTAAAGAAATCTAAAAAAATAACTCGAGGAATTATGGCGAACTTAAAAGGCACAGCTATATATAATCTGCACATCGCTCAGTCCAATATTCCTTCAACAAAAAAGCAGTAACTTAACATTCACTTCGTCACTATGAAAGGGTGTTTTTGAAATTGTCAATTAAATGTCTTGTTCTGACATAAAGGTTACTTTAATTTCAAATCACTTTAGCGATTTAATTCCGTTTTAAGTTTTAATCAGTTTACTGTGAATAACAATGGCAATTAGCAAGTCACGCCAATGCACTGGTAACTTTTCTTCCGAAAGTCCCATCATTCTGAACACAGTAAAACTACCTTCCATTACGAAAGTCCGGTACAGACTATAATGGTAATTGTTAAACAGTGAATTAACTTAGCACTTCAGAGAGGAAGAACTTGGCCGCCGCTCCTGCCGACTTGGAGAGTTAAGTACAGCTAAGTGGGTCACCCGGGCGAGGGGCAGAGCCCCCGTGGGAACTGCGCCCCGCACGGGGCACCGCTTATCTCCGCAAAAAACCCAACGTAATCGCGCCGCTTGCGGCCCACTCCCAATCGCACACCAGGGCGGCGGGACTGCACACGCGTCCGCGCCAGGCTGAGTACTACCTACGGCCGGGCGGCCGAAGGAAGGCACCCGTCGGCATCGCCGCCTTCATGAGCGCCGGAGCGCGGTGCACGTAGCGCGCTGACGTCAGTGCCCCGCGGATCCCTTCCCTCACCCACCCAGCCGCGCGCCCCGAACGCCAAAACCCCCTGGAACGCCGCCAGCCTTCTAAATCGGGGTTGTTGCTGGGGCGCAGCCGCCCCTCTCATTGGCTGGCTCCCGGGAGCCAATCAGCAGCGCCAGCGCATGCCTCCCCTCCCCCTTAGTCCCCTCAGCGAGAACAGAGCCGGCGTCACGGAAACTTCCCTCCCGAGTACACGGCCGCACCTCACCCCTGGCCCCCGTTCCTGACCCCTCGGTGCAAGGCCCCAGGGCGCGGCAGCGGTCGCCTGAGGGCCAGAAGTCCCCAAAGGTCCCCAGGTGCCCCTCGCGGCCCTTACCTCGCTTCTGAACGAGGGCTGGCCGAGGGCCGCGGGCGGCAGCGGGCCGGTGAAGGGGCCCGCTCCCTCAGTTCGGGTTGAGGCCGCCGGGCCCGGGGCCGAAGCGGCGGCCTGCTCCGGGACGTCCAGCGCTCCGCTCCGGCCCGCCGCGGGACTGCGCCCGCCCCCCAGGCTCGGCCGGTGCTGCTGGTACTGGTGAAAGCGGCTGGGCAGCTGCCCCGCCGGGCTCGCCCGCACCTTCTTCTTCCGCCGCTTCTTCGGCGCTGCCCGAGGGGTGCCCGCAGCTGTGGCGACGCTGCAGTTAGGCAGAGGTACCGGGGCGCGGGGCTGAGGGGTCAGACAGGAACCGTCTCCCCCTAAGAAGTGAGGGAGGAAGAGGGTGGGGGGCAGCGTCCGCGGGTCCGGGATCCGGGGGAAAGGCGGCGGAGCCGTGGTCACCATCGGGAGGGCCCCGAAGTAACCGCGAGCGGAAAAGCCCAGGGTCGCAAGGCGGCCGCCTAGAACAAACGGCTCCCGCTGCGGGACGGAGACGACGGTCATGCTGCTCGGAGGAAAGTGGCTCAGCAGGAAGAGGAGGAGGAAGTGAAGCCAGAGATCACAGGGCGGCGGCGGCGACGGTTGCTGCTAAAAGAGCCCGAGAGCACTGCGAGCCACGGGCCGGGCGGTGTCGGCGCAGCAACAAATAGCCTCAACCCCAGCTCCGAGTGTTGTTATGTGAGGTCCCGCCCTGTGCCCGCCCACCGAAAGCCAAAGCGCAATCAGAATGCGGCAGGGTATGGCCACGCCCCTTATCTCCGCCTCCCTGGCCTCAGAAAGACACAAACAACCGGCTAGCTGCGTCCCGGCACAAAGAGCGCACACTGCGCAGGCGTTGCCAGCGGCGGCTTTCGGGAAGAGTCGGTCCCGCGAACAATGAAGTTCCGTTTCAGCCACACCTCCCCCGCCCCTCTCGTTCCTCGCTCTGGCACCTCACGGTGAAGGCCGCGGTCAGCCAGCCAGCGAGCCAGGTCTAGGCTTAATTTGGAATGGGATTTGGTGGGGAGGGAGTAAGAATCAGGAAGCATCGAGGCCGCTGAAGCTGTCTCCGCCGCTGACCTTGGCGAAGTATCTTATTTCAAACCAAATATAATGTTATCGTTGGGTTTTTATTTAAAGATTTCAAAGTACATCATAGGAATTTCATTTCTAGCTATGGTGAAGAGTCCACATTTGTCTTTAATCATGTTTTTTTCATTTTTGGGGTGGGCAACTCTGCTCATTAGCCAAAGTGGTAAGAGTAACAATTAAGGGAGTGACTAATTGAAAGTGGCCCTTAAATATATAAAATAGTTAACTGTAAATCCATAATCGGGCATAGGAAATGTTACTGCCTTCATACTTGAAGGACTGAGACTCTAGGACCACAAAACGGTGCCTGAGAGAGAAGGAAGCAAAGGAGGAGGCTCGTGTCTTGAAGTGGAAGAGCTCTGCAGCATAGTGTATCCTGCCGGCTGTGTGTGAGAAATCTCACTTTCACCGTCTCCCCGCACTGCACACATACACAAGAAAGAATTGTGGCCATTAAGCACTTTTGTGCCAGGAACTGTTACTTAAGTAAATTAGCTCATTTGAACCTCACAGCAACCCTAGGGGACAGTTAACTATCCCCATTTCAGAGGGGAGGAAACAGGCTTAGAGGCAGAAAGCATTTGTCAGATATCACACGGTAAGTTAACAGCAGTTGTTGAACTCCAGTCCAAGTCTGTCCAAATCAAAGTTTCAACATCATCCATACTACTTGTCAATACTAGATTGTAGGTTTTAAGAACACAATAATCTTACTTTTAGTCTCACAGCCTCTAACCAATTACTTTTCAGCTTTGTAGCACTTAAGTGTTTTACGATTGATGACAAAGTTTGACAGAGGGAATATCCCTACATGCTTCCCAATAACTTTTTAAAGACGATCCCGGATTTACAACGGTTCCACTTAGGATATTTCGAGTTTACTGGTGTGAAAGCAATAGACATTCTGTAAAACCCACATTTTGAATTTTGAATTTTGGTCTTTTCCCAGGCTGGCTGTATGTAGTACAGTTCTCTGGTGATGGTCAGTGGCAGTGAGCAGCAATGAGCAGCAGCTCCCGGTCAGCTGCGCCATTCACGACAGGAAACAACCGGTACACTTAATTTTGTACACATACAGCTGTTGTTTTTCACTTTCAGTACAGTATTCAATAAATTTCATGAGACAGTCAACACTTCATTATAAAATAGGCTTTGTGTTAGAGGTTTTGCCCAGCTGTAGGCTAATGGAAGTGTTCTCAGCATGTTTAAGGTAGGCTGGGCTAAATTACAATGTTTGTTACGTTAATGTATTTTCGACTCATGGTATTTTCAGTTTACGATGGATTTATCACAACATAATCCCATTGTAGTTTGGAGAAGATCTGTTTAAAGTTTTAATACTGTATCCCATCATTATTGATTGTTGGGTTTTACCATTTCTACTGTATTTCACTTATTTTTGTGCTTCCAACACATAATAATAAAGTAAGTGTTCTAGTTCTTTGGGTGAATGGGAATCATATACTTGCAGAGCCATAAAAGATCTACAGAGAGCTTTTAATTTAAATCCTGACGTCTGCAAATTGAAATTGAATTTAGGATCTGGTGAGAAGAACAGCCTGGTAAGAGTTGGTGGAAAAGAGCAGGCAAAGATGATGGGAACCTCTGGAATGATGTAGTTTGCTCTTCTGTTTTTGTAGAAGTTTCTATTTTTTCAAAGCACTTTCATCTTTTTTGTTATTTTATTCTTACATGAATCATTTAAAGTAGATAGATAAAGTTTCTATTATACATATGATAAAAATAAAGCCTCGAAAGTTAAAGTAATTTGCCTAAGGGTCCCATAATGAGTCAGGAACTAAATCACTTCAACTCCTAATGCTTAATCCAGTGCTCTTTTTGCTGTATCCCAAGGCTTAAAGTTTGACTTTATCTGGGATAATATAGTGTGATACTAGGTCCCAAAGAATCATTTACCCTCTGTTGGCAGCTAATTGGTAGTTAGTTCCCTGGGGCCCTTGATCAAGGGCACCTATTATTGTCTTTGTGTATCCCGAGGGTGAATGTTGGAGTTACTGTGTAATATGTAGTTTAGCCTTTTGAGAACTGGAGGGTAGGCCTTGAATTAGACCTTGGATTTTGTTTCTTAGGTAAGGAAGCCTTGCAGCCATGGCCACCTTAGTGATGGGTGCTCAGATGGTGCTCACTACAAAGAGACAAGGTGCTGGAATGGACCACCAAAAGAGAGCAATCCAAGGTTTTATAAATCAGATTGTTAGATTTTATGTTACTCATTGTATATAGTTCCCATTGGCCCTTAGTCTTTAGTAAAGAAAATTTTAGTATTCAAAGCTGATTTCATCTGTGCTATATTTTATAAAGGAAAAGGTCACCTGTGTTTCTCTGAGCCCAAAGGACCAATCATTGAGGGAGCAAGGTAGGCCAAGGGTAAAGTAATCTTGGGGGACTCTCATGGTTCTTGAAGATTTTTGTTCTAGCTTTATTTTTGTTAAGTCAATAAGTTTCTTTAGAAGGAGTTTCTGGAAAAAACAATTGAAAAATAAAACAGGTAATAAAGAGCAGGGAAAAGAGATAAAGGCCACGTGTGTGCAGTTTCCGTGCATCAGCACTGCAGAGCCCTCTGAACTCCTCTGGTCTTCTGTGTACCATTCTCTCCCTCTCATTTGACTTTGGTCCTCCTCCCCCCTCTCTCTCTACCTTGAATGTAGTCTTTCCCTCCTCCTGCTCTGAATGTTTCTCTTCTCCCCCTCACTGTGATTTTATTCCATTTCCCCTACCTATTGTTGCTTAGATCTCAAATGTCTAAGCTCTTAGGAACACCTATGTGAAAAGAGGAACATTTACTCCAATATAAGCTTTGCTTATATGCTCAAATTTAATCTTTCAAATCTATGAAGTAATATTCCTCTAGACATTGAACACAACCAGGAAACCAAAATGTTTAAACTTCACGAATAAGAATTTCCCTGACAGTTAAGCACTGATCACAAACCTTATTTTAGCAACAAACTCTGAAAAGTTTAATTAAAATAAGGTTTATATTTAAAAGAAACAAAACATGCATTCAATTTCACAATAAAGACAAAATTTAAACTGACCCTTCAAAACTATTATTACCATTGGTTGAAATTAATGTCTTCATTTTATCCCTATACCTACATGTTTTAAGGGTTGTAGTAATTTTACCACAGGTATTTATTTCCTAAACTTTCTTAAGGGGGACAGCAGGCCTGTGCAGGTTATGTTTTGCATATGGGTGCCTAGGCAAAGGGGTGGGGGAAGCTGAAGTATAGCTGTCAGCTCCTAAAACCAACTCCCCAGGGTCTGGAAACACCAGGAGGAAGGGACGTCTTTTTCTTACTGATAGGTACAAAGGTGTCAAAAGGAGTAGGAGCAGCCCTGGAGTACAGTACTATTATGGATAGCTGATTTTATTTTATCCTAGATATAAAACCCAAAGGAAAACCATCTAATTTAGATTAGTTGAAGTTCCAACCAACTGAGTCTTAGTTGGGTGGTCACAGGCCTGGTTGTGCCTTCCGGCTGGCTCTCCTTTTCTACACTGATAAAACTTTTTAACTCCTTGCCATTCACAGAATGCAACCTAATGCCTCTCTTGAAATGGTATATTTTTTAAAGTTTCATTTGGCCACCTTACAGAACCCAGTTTCTTATCATTATATGTTGGTGTGGACTGTTCAGTTTTACAAACTGATTTGTCTTAATTTGTTATCTTTCATCTTTCGTGAGACGGATGGAGTCCACATAATTAGCTGTCTTCTTCAGGACATTTGGCAAATCATCATCTTGAAACACTCTGTGGATTCTCTTCTACTTCGTCTTTTTGCAACCCCAGCACTGATTAAATGTTGGATCTCCTTTCTCCCTGGTTGTTATGTGTGACAAATGATCTGGAGCAGGTCTTTCTGTTCCTGGTATAGTTAATATTTTTTTCCAAGGCTGCTTGTCTGATTCCCAGTCCTCTCTATTCATCTGTCTCTGCTTTTACAATTTAGAGAAAAGATATGTCTGTGCTTTAGAAACTATTATATGCCTTAGATTTAAAAAAACAACCCATACATATAATTGTATTTACTCAACTTCAAAAAACTTAACACATCTAAATTATCTCATTCACTATCTTTTATAGGCCAACTACCTATTACTAAATTGTAAACTTTTTCCTTTGGAGAAACATCATGGACTTTCATTGATTCAAATGCTTTCAATTATGTATAATCACTTTCCTTTTTTTGCTCAAATCTTCAGAAGAGCTAAGTCAATGAAAGACCTTTTGGATGGTTGAATTGTCTCTCCAGCACTTCTCTCAAACATTTTTGAAAACATTCTTGCTTTATGTACACAACAAAATGTTCCAGATTATCTTCATCTTTCTCTGACTTAAAACATGGGATGAAGTATTTTATAAAGAATTTAGTTTCTTTAAATTAAAAAAAAAATTAGTGGCAAAATCTGGGCATCAGGGATATCAGATTGTTCCATGTGAGTACAGATTGGAATTACAATTTTTTTTTTTCCAAAACTGAAAGGCATTTCTTTTTAAAGTCCTTAGTCTACATTGATTTTTTAAATAATTTAAACCCACAAAATCATTTAAAAATTTATTCCATTTTAAAAAAATGTTTAGTTTTCTTCCCAACATAATCTTAAACTTTTAATCCTTTGCTCAAACTGCAGTTGTGCCCTCATGTATAATCCTTACATGTCTCAGCAGTAGTCATTTCTGTAATCACTTCATTACCTTGCGGTCTTAGTACTTCCACTTTATCTCTCTGGTCTTTCTCTATTTTTATTTTTTTAATTTTTATCTTTTATCTCCCCTCTTTATGCTTCCCCACTGTTATTCTCATCATCCTTATTTCATCTCCCCTTTCAAATCTTGGAACTGAAGCATAATTCCTGCCTCAGGGTGTTTTGTAACTGGAGAGTTACTGTCTGTCTTGGGACATCTAGGTCATCCCCACTTGCAACTACTCTAGATCAAGTCATCAAAAACTTAATGCCATTTTTGTTGTGTGACAAAATGCACTCTGTAGCATGTTGGCACATTTTTACTGACTTATTCATGTACTTTTATTTAAGTAATTTGTGTTCTTAGTATTCCAGAGCAATCTTCCACACCAAAACAAAGAAGAGAAGGGCAGAGGACTACAGAAAGAGAAGCAACTGGGACAAACATTTTACAATTTATTAAGGTTTCAGGAAAATTACCTCTTAAAAAAAAAAAGCATTGTATACACTGTTAGGTTTTTCCATTGCAAGAATCCACTCAGTAAAGTAACAGGGTATTTGCTTTAAGGATATACACACACAGACATAAGAAAGGCAAGAAGATTGCACATCAGGCCTCACAGGATCCCAAGAAAACCTTAATACCCAGAACTCATGGGAGGAACAGGAATTACAGAATAGCACCTAACAGACATGGAATGAAGTTTGGAAACTCAAAATTTACTCAGGATCCAGTGCATCCCTGCTTAGAAGGTTAGTTTTTCACTCCTCAGCAAAGGATGTTTGTTGATTCTTACTCTACTGCTCTGCCATTCCCCTGACTTAACTCTCTTTCTGTTTGTGCTTTTTGTGTATTAACACTTGCACTATCACTACCAATTAATTCACTGTTTCATCTAAAAGTCCAAATTCCACAGAGAGAGGAACTGATTCATCCAGGTGAGATTACTGGATGACTCATCACCTTCATGATGTTGAGCCAGGATGGTGTGGCACCTGTGTGTGAGGCGCCACTCAGGACCACTTCCGGGACTGTGGACGTGACAAGCGTTGAGAAGTTTGGCCAGCCTGGTACACTGCATAACCTACCTTCCAGGCACAGAACAGTCCTCTGCTTATTTATACCTGCAATTCTTCGGAATCTACAGGCAGTGAGAAAGCCTATGGAAACTCTGGGGATCTCTGACTGTTCTTGGAAAGCTAGGTTTCTAGCAACACCATCCCATCATTCCTGGTGAAGCAATAGTTGGCTGGAGTTGAATAGAGGCTGCCCTTTAAAAATGAGGCCTATGAGTGTGGGGGTGGGGTGGGGGGAGGGTGTCCCAAAATAAATAAAATAAAAGCCTGTGCACAGCCAGCTCATTTCACTCATTTACTTACTGGACTCTTTAGGCAAATAAGCTTGAAACTCCTTTAAAAATAAATTGGAAGTGTGAGACAAATAATTTAGCTGTGAGGCCCCTGAGAACTGCAGCTAAGATAGTTCAGAGGAGATGGGAAGGCTGACATAGAAATAAAAGCTTGAAACCTGATAACTGATAATGTGAGCCTGGTGGGGAGACCAGGCAGGGTGGGAAGTACCTAAGAATGAGGCGAGGTAAGGAGAAGTGAGAGTGAAAGAGATGGGTCCCAGACTTCCAAATGTGGTTGATTTGGAGAGAAACGATTGCCTTGGCAGGAATATGAAAATCCAGAAGGGCCAGTTTGGGGAGAAAATATGATTGCCATGGTAGTAAGGTTTTCTTTTTGATGTTCCTCAATTTAAAACTAATTGAAATTTTTGTTTTGTCTGTCTCAAAAAAGAAAAAAATTCCCCAATAATTTTTTTACCATGAATCCTTGATAGAAAAAGTTTTTATTCTTCTTCAGTGCAAAAACATAGAAATAGACTTTTTAAATCAATCTGGTTATCTTTAGCTATTTCATTTGACATTTTCAGAAAATAGAGGAGTTAAACTACTTCTAAGAAATTTTAAATAAATTAAGGAAAATGGACTAAAACTTATTGTCAACTCTCCTTTATTATTCGTGTCCCAGAATAGTCAATTCAGTTCTGTCCTTGTCAGCTAAAATTCCAAGAGGAAAATAGCATATAGCATAGTCATTTTTACAAAATACTGCAGTGCCCCAATTTTTACAGCATTGCAATTTAAGATTATATGATAAAGTAGTGTTTCAGACTTTTACCTTCTATGTAATGGTAAAAGGTATGCAAAATGAATACTGGTTTTAGAGTAATGCTTATGATTTTCAAGCCTAAGTGAAATTACGTAGAGTTTTTTTTTCTGTAGTTTGTAACCCCAGAACATAAAAAGAAAAATGAGATTTGGCCAATGATTTTCTGTTAATTCTTTCTAAAAAAGAACATTTCCATGTTCTTAAAACATTTAGAAAGATTTAGGATTTCTACAAAACAATCAAATATTTGCTGAGTTATCTTTATATGTCCTTATTTTATCCCTGAAGATTTAAAATTTGTACAAGAAGATAAAACTGACATTCCCTGAGTTTTATCACTTTCTGGAGTTCTTGAACCCACCAGAAGAACGTTTAGATCGTGGAGCAGAAGAACAAGCGCAACCACCTTCAAGCTGTGAGGCTGATATTTTGCCAAGTTTTCTCTGCAATACTGATTATGACTAGCAGCCAAGTATGACTCATTGCTGTAAATGCTATATCTAAAATGATGTCACTAGCTTTTTGAGTTTCAGGGGAGAGAAGAGAGTGGTATTTTGGCCTAACTGGTAAGTTGACATATTACAGTTATCCTGCACATGTACAAGTGCATATGATGTGATTAGTTTAAATATTGACTTCAGAGGTTCTTAAAGATATAGTGCAGCCAGAGATCATCCCATAGTGCAGCCCCCTGGCCTTGCACACAGGACTTGAAATCAGCTTCTTATTGTGTATCCTAAAGTGTAAGCAGTCAGGCAAGAGTTTTGAGGATCATAACAAATAATCAGGAATAAAAGGAACTTGCAGGACACAGAGACAGAGTAGCAGAAAGTTTTCAAAAGCTCCTTGAATGAATAGCCTCAGAGTGTTAAGAGTATAGTACATCCATGAAACAAAAAGAAGATGCTATGAAAAGGAAACAATAAAAAAATCTATTATAAATTGAAAATACCATGGCAGAAATTAAAAATTCAGTTGAAAAAAAGGTAAATTTAAGGTATTCTCTGAGAAGGTAAAATTTAATGATGAGGAATTTGAAAGATAAGTAAGAAAAGAGAATTAGAGGATCTGTTCAATAGGTTCAATATTCCAAATAAGAATTCCAGAAAGAGAAAACAGAGGAAGTAGAAGGAAAGAAATTAACAAAGAAATAAACCATGCAAATTTCCCAGAACCAGAGAACGTGAGTGTGCAAGCTGAAATGGCTCACTGAGCGCTCAGAATAATGGATGAAAATAGGCCTACACCAAGAAAGGTAATAATCCAAAAAAAATACATATGATTATTAAAATCTTCCTAAGGAAGAACAGGTTGCACACAAAGCATCAGAATCAGAATAGTATCTGGAATATCAGCTTGAAGCTAGAAGACAATGCAATAATTACTTCAAAATTCCAAGGATAAATGAATTCCAACCCAGAAGCCTATTTCCTCCTGTTATGGACTGCATGTTTGTGTCCCTCCCAAACTCATATGTGGAAACTCTACCTCCCAAGGGGATGATATTAGGAGATGGGACCTTTGGGAGGCAATTAAATCATGAGAGTGAAGCCCTCATGGATGGGATTGATGTTGCGAGAGAGCTTGCTTCCTCTTTCTGCTCTCTGTCACATTGAGGGGACAATAAGAGGTTTGCAGACTGTAACTCAGAAGCAAGCTGGCATCCTGATCTCAGATTTCTAGTCTCCAAACTGTTGGAAATAAATTTCTGTTGTTTATAAGCCACCCAGTCTATAGTACTTTGTTGTAGCTGCCTGAACCGACTAAGGGTTTTCCCAAACTACCAGTGAAGCAGAAGGGTAGAATAAAGATCTTTCAAATACATAACAGCCCAAGAATTTTACTCTCAGGAAGCTACCGGAAGAGGCACTTCATTAAAGAGAGTAAATCAAGAAACAATAAGACATGGGACCTAGGAAACGTGAGATCCCACATAGAGGGGAGTGAAAGGAATTTCCAGGTAAGAGTGAGCGGTGAGCTCCAGATGGTAGCTTCGCAGGTGGCCTGTGGAGCAACCAGCCCAGAATGCAGCAGAAGGATGGATGATTGCAGAGGGCCGGGGAGCACTCCCAGGAAAATGACAGTTAATAGAATCCTCGATATGTTTGATGGAATCAAGAAGAGATGTACTTCTGGCAGAGAGCCTGGGAATGAATAAATGCTGGGTAAATAGAAAATGAAGCAAAGGGAATGAAGTCAAGGAAACAGCAAGGCAATTATTAAGTCCAAAGAAAGGAAGAATACAAGAAAGAGAATATATTCACAGTACAGCTGACTACATGTAAACACCAAATAGCAATAGAATCCAAACTGTGATATAACTATATTAGGAGGATGGGGAAGGAGACTATATGTATGTACATATTTGTGTGGATAGATAGATAGATAGATAGATAGATAGATAGATAGATAGATAGATAGATAGATAGATAGGAAGGATCTGGGCAGTAATAGAGCTAAAACCTCATCTTCATCATAGAAAGTCATCGATTTATATCTTAAACCAAAAAATAAATACAGCACTATTAGCATTTTATTTTAAAATGTGAGGTTAATACTAACAGGACAGGTAAGAGAGTTGAAAGAGATTGCCCAGGGTTGAGAGTGCCCAGGAAACAAGGGTGGAGAGGGGGACTAGAAGCCTTCTGAATTTGTTTTAGGCCTTGTAGTACTTATTTTAGTTTTCACATAAATACATGATTTTTTAAAAAGCAGACTGACAAGATTTCAAAGTTAAAGGCACAGAAGCATGAATGTGCAGGACAAGCATGGGTAGGAAACAAAAAATCTAGAGAAGCTGGAAAATTAGATGAAGGTCATACTGTGAGAGGCATTCAGGGCCCAGCTGAGGAACTTAGAATTGTTCCTCAATTGTCTGTGTTCCTCCATTGTCTGTGCTGTGGGAACGCTGGAAAGTGGGGAGTAGGCAGATCACATGTAAGTGATATTTTTGAGGGGTAGAGTGAGTGGGACAAGACAAAGCTGAAAGGCAAGGAGATGAGTTAGAAAATATTTCAGTTGTCCAGACAAGGTCTGAGGGAACTAAGGCAAGTTCAGTGGGAGAAGAAGGGATTAGACATATGGGGAATATTCCAGGTGGAATTGACAGGATTTGGTTTACTGATATGAGACGAGTGAGGGAGAGGAGAGAGTTAAGACTGACCTGGTCTTTTCCAACCACGCCCTCCAGGGGATTCTGGTATCAGAACTTCATTTGCCCAGTTTCAGTGGTCTTCCTCATTTCCCAGAGTTTGCTCCAAATGACATTTGGTCTTCAAGAAAATAAAGGCACTGAGTTTGGCCAGAAGGAAACAGAAGCCTTCCATCGAAGGATCTACCTACCTGATTTCAGGGTTATTATGAGGCTCCAAGGGCATGAAAGTGCTTGTTACACTGTACAAATCTAGGTGATTCTATGACGGCCATTATTGTTTTCTGAAGAATGTGACCCAATTTCTGAGGGCAGTGACAAATGGGAAGTTTCAAAAAACATTTTGGGCCATGTCAGCAACATTGAACACTGGTACACATGGCCAACATGCAGCAGCAGGCTTCTACATGGGCATACCTTTCACTGTGACATTATTTTTCTTATTATATACTTGTACAGCGAGGTTGAGTGGTGTGTTGTCCCTCCCCACTCCATTATGTTACAGATTTGGAGACGAGGACATCATCCTGGACTATCTGGGTGGGTCCTGAATCCAGCGACAAGTGTCTTTAGGAGAGACCCACAGAAGAGGAGGCGGCAGTGACCGAGGAGTCAGAGATGGGAGTGATGTGGCCACAAGCCAAGGAGCACCTAGAACCACCAGAAGCTGCAAGAGACAACTGGTGTCCCCTGAGAGCTTTCAAAGGGAGCTTGACCCTGCCTTTTGGAGTTCTGGCCACCAGAACTGCACAAGAAGACATTTTGTTGTTTTAAGCCACTGAATTTGTGGTAATTTGTCATGGCAGCAATAGGAACCTAATACAATTGGTAACATTACTTAAATGTCCTAAAATACCCAGTAACCCAATAACTTCAAGTCTTATGTATGAGAATAAGATGTTTTGTTTCAAGGAAAAGAAACCACGCAAGCTAACTCAAGCAAAATGAGATTTATTTTAAGGATAC